TTTAGAGTTTTTCCTTGCCGATGCAGGAGGGTCAGTGGTCAGGGTCAGACACTAACTATCTAACAAGAAGAACTGTGGAGATGATCCAGGGCACTTATACATTCTACAACATGTAAGATAAGAGATAAGATATCCTTTATTATGTATTATGTAGGGACATTTATCAAGATTGGTCTCCCCCTATGGACCAATTCATGTGTTCTACATTGTTGGTGTGTTGTTGATTCTCTGATCTGTGTTGGTGATTTCAATGGTTTTGTTAAGTCCTCTGAGATGACTGCTGTTGTGATTTAGGGCTATATAAGAATAAATTGTATTGTACATCGACTTTAGGATTATTCTAAATGTGGGTTGATATAATTAACCTTTGCTTCTGAGTTTGTGCCTATGCTGAGCAATGGAACATGGAACAGACTTCTTTTACTTACAACATTGTAAGTAACAGGAAGTCACAAACTATGAATATGCTTTGGTTCAAGGTGCAAACAAGTTATAAAAGGCCTCAGATTTGGAGGTGCTGATTCTCATCCCAGCCGCTTCACACTCGGCTGCAAACCGTCCCAGTGCATGTTGTAGGTCCTGGTTTGTTGGAGCCAACAGGACAACATCGTCCGCAAACAGCAGAGATGAAATCCTGTGGTCCCCGAACCGGACCCCCTCCGGCCCCTGGCTGCACCTAGAAATTCTGTCCATGAATACAGTGAACAGAACCGGTGACAAAGGGAAGCCCTGGTGGAGGCCAACATGCACCGGGAACAAGTCTGACTTACTGCCGGCAATGCAAACACAGCTCTGGCTTCCGGTCATACAGGGACCGAACGGCCCTCAGCAGAGGACCCCGGACCCCGTACTCCCGGAGAACCCCCCCAAAGAACACCCCGGGGAACACAGTCGAACGCCTTCTCCAAATCCACAAAGCACATGTGGACAGGTTGGGCGAACTCCCATGAACCCTCGAGTATCCGATGGAGAGTATAGAGCTGGTCCAGTGTTCCGCGCCCGGGACAAAAACCACACTGCTCCTCCTGAATCCGAGATTCGACCATCGGCCGTAGCCTCCTCTCCAGTACCTTGGAGTAAACCTTGCCAGGGAGGCTGAGGAGTGTGATCCCACAATAATTGGAACACACCCTCCGGTCCCCCTTCTTGTAGAGAGGGACCACCACCCCGGTCTGCCACTCCATTGGCACCGCCCCCGATCGCCACGCGATGTTGCAGAGACGTGTCAGCCAAGACAGTTCCACAACATCCAGAGACTTTAGATAGTCAGGGCGGATCTCATCCACTCCCGGCGCCTTGCCACCATGGAGGCTGCCAACCATCTTGGTGACCTCTGCCATGGAGATAGAAGTATCCGCCCCAACATCCTCAGCCTCTGCCTCCGGGGCGGAGGACGTGACGGGGGGGGTTGAGGAGAACCTTGAAGTATTCCTTCCACCGCCCGACAATATCCCCAGTCGAGGTCAGCAGCTCTCCACCCCCACCTTATATGGTGTTGGTAAAGCACTGCTTCCCCCTCCTGAGGCGCCGGACGGTTTGCCAGAATCTCTTCGAGGCCGACCGATAGTCATCCTCCATGGACTCTCCGAACTCCTCCCAGACCCGGGCCTCTGCGACAGCCCGGGCCGCAGCACGCTTGGCCTGCCGGTACTCGACAGCTGCCTCAGGAGTCCCCCAAACCATCATGGCTCGATAGGACTCCTTCTTCAGCCTGACGGCATCCCTTACTGCCGGTGTCCACCACCGGGTTCGGGGGTTTCCGCCGGGACCAGCACCAGAGACCTTGCGACCACAGCTACGAGGCGATAGAGGAAGAGAACATGATCCACTCAGACTCAATATCCCCCACCTTCGCCGGGGCCTGGGAGAAGCTCTCCCGGAGGTGCGAGTTGAAAATCCGTCTGACAGGGGGCTCAGCGAGACGTTCCCAGCAGACCCTCACTATACGCTTGGGTCTGCCAGGTCTGACCGGCTTCTTCCCCTGCCAGCGGATCCAACTCACGACCAGGTGATGATCGGTTGACAGCTCCACCCCTCTCTTTACCCGAGTGTCCGAGACACGCGGTCGAAGGTCAGATGATACGACAGCAAAGTCGATCATCGACCTCCGGCCTAGGGTGTCCTGGTGCCACGTGCACTGGTGGACACCCTTGTGCTCGAACATGGTGTTCGTGATGGACAAACCGTGACTGGCACAGAAGTCCAACAACTGAACACCGCTTGGGTTCAGATCAGCGGGGCCTTTCTTCCCGATCACCCCTCTCCAAGTGTCACTGGCATTTCCCACATGGGCGTTGAAGTCCCCCAGGAGAATAACGGAGTCCCCGGTTGGTGCACCGTCCAGTACCCCTCCCAAGGACTCCAAGAAGGCCGGGTACTCTGCACTGCTGTTAGGCCCGTAGGCCGTCACAACAGTGAGAGACTTGTCCCCTACCCGAAGGCGGAGGGACGCGACCCTCTCATTCACCGGGGAGAACTCCAACACGTGGCGGCTGAGATGGGGGGCAATTAGTATGGCCACCCCAGCTCGCCGCCTCTCCCCGCGAGAAACACCAGAAAAGTGGAGCGTCCAACCCCTCTCAAGGAGTTGGGTTCCAGAGCCCAAGCTGTGTGTGGAGGTGAGGCCGACTATCTCTAGTCGGTATCGCTCGACCTCCCCCACGAGCTCGGGCTCCTTCCCCCCAAGTGAGGTGACATTCCACGTCCCAAGAGCCAGATGTTGTGTGCGTGGACTGGGTCGCGAGGTCTCCGCCTTCGACTGCTGCCCAGTCCTCTTAGCACCGTGCCACCACGGACCCCTCTGCAGGTGGTGGGCCCACAGGAGGGACTGCCCACATCGTCCCTTCGGGCTGAGCCCGGCCGCGCCCCGTGGGCTAAGGCCCGGCCACCAGGCGCTCGCAAGGAACAAACCTAGTGGGAAAAATGTGACTAACCTCAGGGACGCCCACATTGCGGGATGGAGCCGTGAAGGTGTTCATTTAACAAATTTTTAGACATGTTATTAAATAAACAACATTCAATAAATACTGTTAAATACATACATCAGTCCAATGCAACGACAGTAGGATGAGTGTAATCAGAGCATTTGCCTCTCGCGTCCCACTGCTTACTGTGATTCTGCTGCTAAATGCGCCACATGTCTTTGCGATCAGAAATATCAAAGCAAGCAAGAATACCGAAGGACCATTAATGAAGTGTCTTGGAAGTAGTGAGGCGTTCTGTATTTTCAGCAACATGAATGAGATTTGTTTCACTGCAGCAGAAGCAGACAGCTCCCCTGGGTGGTACCTGCTCTGAGAGGATCAGCATTTTATTTCTTTATGCGCGACCACTGTTTCTGCTTAAATGTGCAATTTATAACTTCCAGGACCAAATGGTATTTAACTACCAATGTGTAAATGAGGCATACATTCAATCTAAGAGAAGCTCTCTCTCACAACGGCTGCTTGGGAAAATGATTAAGTCCTGTTGGATAAGAGCAGACACACACTGCTCATGGTGGATATGTGAATATGGATGAGCTATAGAGCTATAGTTATAGGTTTACTTGCAATTCCAGCAGGGCAATCTGGGGAAATAAAGAATTACATGTTCTTCTCAGGGCGACAGTAGCTCAGTTGGTAGAGCATTGGCCTTAAGGCCAGAAGGTCGTGGGTTCAATTCCCACCTCTGCACCTTCTCCACCGACTCCCACTGATGACTGCTGTCGTTGTGTCCTTGGGCAAGACACTTAACCCCACTTTGCCCAAAGCCCCCACTGAAAGATCAAGGCTATGCTCACACTCAGAGAGCAGCCGTCCTCCTGTGGACTCACCACCTGCAGAGGGCCAGTGAGGGGCTGGTGCTATGAGACTTGGGTGGCATCTCTGACTGCCACCCCCCTGACCCAGAAATGGATTAAAGGGTAGAAGATGGATGGATGGATGTTTTTCTCTCATATAGATTTTTTTTGTTTATTCAACTCTGATATACATTTGCACAGGCAGAAAGGGAGAAGACTTAATGCCTTCAATTAAATGATGCATAACTTAAGCCAAACATTGTGGAAGGCTCCCCCTGGGTCAGTCTTTCAGTGAGTACAGGAGAAAGCATGGGGTTGTCTCTCGATTTGAATGCACACAATAGAGGTCGATAACAGAGGTTGAGAAAAGTTGTGATTTTAGGAGTTGGTGTCACATTGGTTTGAGTGTTTGTCTCCGTGCAAAAAGCAGTGGTGTGTGTTGATAGTCTGAGCAATTGCATCATTTTGAGATTTTTGTTTAGTATTTTACTGGTCCAATGATACAACTTAACTCATTTGAATCTGCCGCACAACAGCAATCAATCAATCAAATGTAATTTATTTTCATACAAAAATGCACATCAAAGTGTTTTACAGTTTGGTTCATTTGGTTCATTGAATAAAAGATTTCTCCAATTCTGCTGTTGCCACATCCAGTCTGTACAGTGGGACCAATTGTTTTTGTGTTTTTATTATTTGCGTTGTGAGTTAATCATACAATTCAGACATTTAAACAAATTGAAGGTTATGAGATCCTTTATGCGTCCCACAGTGTGGAAATTACTTTCAACCGGTTACAGAACAGTAAGAATGAGGAGCACACAGCACAGGATAAATGAACAATAACTAAATGCTAAAAATTAAAAATTCGGTTTCTATCTTCAGCATAATAAAGAAGCAAGCATGAAATACTCTGCTCATTATTGTATGGCCCCCAAACAAAACGTATTGTTGACCTTTGGCTTTTAGTGTCCTCCTTCTCTGCTGCTAAGTACAATATAAACATCTATAAATACCACCTGCTGTCTACGGTGTATAACTTAGTATTTGTTTTAATTGTATTATGTATTATTTAAAAAAAAAGATTGTTTGATTATATTCTGCTTTAATGTGCGCCACGATGTCATTGAAATGTCACCACTGTGGGATGATAAAGGGCTATCTTATCTTGTCTTACACAAATAAACATGAACACGCTGATCTTCCTTTGTGTGCGCAGGTTCTGTGAGGTGGAGTTCCATGGGCCTCTGTCAGTGCAGGAGGACTGGATCCGTCACATACAACAGCACATTTTCAAGATGAATTACAAGACCCCGCCACCCCCCAGGGCCCCTGCAAGCAGCCACACAGCCCCCCCCCCTGTCGCCGCCTCTGTCCGCACCTCCGCCTCTACCTCTTCCTCCAGCCACGGCCCGCCCCTCCCCGCCAAGTGCACTCCGAACACTGCCTCCGAGCTGGGCCACCTCTCAGCCGAGCAGCTCGAGCCCACTCCAGTGTAACTCATCTTCCAATAGCAGCACACCTCACTCGTACTTCCTCCCTGTTTTTGCCTTTGATTGGTGTTCCGTGTCGGCAAACGTTGTTGAGGAAAAGAACTGAAGAGTCCTCCGAGCCCTAAGCACCTTTTGAAGCAGCTTTCTAGACTGTTACTCGGCCCGCTCCCATGGGAACCCAGCCCACTGGCTCATCCACGCGCTAGGGATAGCTGGAAACGACCCAGCGGTTTAAGGGGAGAGATAATGTTGGTTTTTGTCTTGTTCATGTTGAATGTTTGTTTTAAATATTTCTTCCTATCATTGGGTCAGTTTGAGTTTATATTTACCCTCTTAACTTTTGTAGTTTACGAGTTCAACACCATTTGGTCCTTCTACTGTTGTTTTGAGACTGATTAGCTCTAGCACTGGCCGAAGCCTTGAAAGAGTCTGACTAAGATTTAGATTTATAATCCTGCTATTGGTCTTGTGCTAAGACTTTAAACAAGTGGACTATGTGGTGGACAAAATAGCACTTTTATTGTGACACTGTGCACTTACAAAGCTACCCATTTAAAAGGGTTTGATTTGTTTTGGGCCCTGGCGACACAGACAATATCTAAAAGCTTTTATTTTGTTCCGTCTGATTGGACTAAGACTTATTTTATGAGTGGTAGTTTTAATTTATCCAGCTGACTTCCATGTGGTCCGGCCTTGTACCGAGTTGGACAATTATCTGTCCTTGTTTATATAAAGTTTCCCACTGTTTGAACTATGTTGAAATTTTACACAGCAAACTGTAGTACAAGGATTACATGCAAAACTGTGTAGTGTTGCCTAGGAATCTGTCATCAACATGTGTCTGTGTCGCCCGGGCCTAAAAGACATTTCCAAGAGAAATCACATCCAAAAAGGGAATCTCCCTTTATCAACGTCAATGTCCAAAAAAAAAACACTTTTTTCTTGAATGTAGCCGAAGCACCTATTGAAACCTTACGCACAGTAGTCTCTGTGCAGTTGTGTTCTTCTTCCGTATTATTTGAGAACTGGGCCAATGGGGCTCATCAAGCGTATACACATTTTTTAAATCCATTTTACCGTTCTGTCTTTTTTTAACACAATCTAAATTATTATTTATTTTTTACATATATGAATGTTGTCTAGAAAGAAATGTTAAAATTTGTTCAACTGTCTTTATGCCACTGACTATACCCATGTCCCATTGTTAAGTAAAAAAAAGGAGGCTAAACTGCTGGCTTGCTGGACGCCTTTCTGTTCCCTGAACTTGCATCCGTCGTAGAGTTAGGATGTGCCAAAGAAGTCTGTTTACTCCCTTTTTTGCCTCTTAACTTGCTGTTTACAATGGACCTAGCAGAATAGGGATCGCTTTCCACTCTGGATGAGATAAGGCTGCCGGACTACACAATACTAATCTCCAGGGTTCTTCATGCTCTCGTGTACCCAGCCATGTGAACTTAATCCAGGCATGGGAGAGCGAGCCGTGCCAGTCTCTGGAGCCCACCTTCTTTCCAATGGGTTTTCTTGTACATCGCTTCAGGCAGTTAGTATCAACCTCAACAGACTGAAGCAATATCTCCACAGGTCCTTTACATGTCGGTTCAGTCCTAATCCTTTTATGGAGTATATACTATATAACTACATGTACCTAAGCAACTGTTGATGCTAGTAGGCTATCAGCAGATTTATTAGCAAAGGTAGTTCAAATAAGTGATCTTAATTCCTATATTGTGATTTATGTATTTTTTATTGCTCCGTGCATTTCAGTAACCCTGCAAGGTAGACTATTTTATCATTTCTATCCATTAGTTTCCAAGCTGAATTGGTGCTGATGAGAGATTGAATCTGTAGGAAGCATTTTATTGTGACTCTAATAAGTTGGCCTTAGGAGGGGACTTCACTTCATCTGATGATTGTCGGTCCCTTCTACTTAACTAACAGAGCCCATTACAGGTCTGTGGCTGCTGCGAGGCCAGTGCATTAGAGATCCCCGTGGAAAGCCTCAAGCCGGTTCCACTGGCTCGTGTTCGCATGTGTGTCTGTCATTCCACCACAGAGAATAAGAAAACATGCAACAGGTCGACTGTACTCAAAAGGGTTAATCAACTCCAGAACAAAAAAATAAATGTGATTTCAAAATGTATTTGTTTCCTGTCTTGTTTTAAGCTTTAGTGCCACTAGAGGGAGCCGTAATAATGCTTTGAAAAGTCTAGTGATAAAGATATTCGCTCAAACCATTCAACTCTAGTAGATCTTTAAATGGATTTGTCCCAACAGATTATACTATACTGTGTTATTAAGCGATCTACTGCTAACATTAAATTAATTATTATACTTTAAATAACTTGTATTTCATTTAATAATCGGAATTTGCAATTTACATCATTTGTCATCAATGATAGTTAGAAAAATAATAATGCATTTGTTTCTATAAAGTGCTTTTTTGGATACTAAAAAACATTATTCATTCATTGAGAAACGGTGGTGATGAACTTCTACAGTAGCCACAGCTGCCCTAGAGCACACTGACAGAAGCGTGGCAACCAGTATGTGCAATTGGCCCCTCCGTCCACCACCAACCATTCACACACAGACACTAGACTCATTCTAGCAATGGGGGTGAAGTGTCTTGCCCAAGGACTCAACACCCACTATGGCACCTGTTGTTCCCAGAGGTCTCCCATCACTGCTTAGCCTCAGAAGTCTGACGGGATCTGGCTTTCACATGCAGGTGGAGCCACAAATTAGAATGACCAGGATGTGTTGAATGTCACAAAGAACACTGTTTGACTCATTTAAAGAAGTAATCTAATCTAAATGAGAAAAATCATAAAATATGAGGTAATAATTGCTTGGATTGAATTTTTTTTTCCTTACTACTGTCTCAAAACAGTCAATGAGACAAACGGTTTACTCCTACTTCCAATTTTGTTCAATGTCATTTTGGTGTTGCTTCTCCACACCTGACAGCTGCAGGCACTTTGTTTGTCAGTTGTGCTACAGCAGCATTTGTTGCACTACACCAGTGGTCTCCAACCTGCCGTCCGGGGGCTACCAGTTGCTCGCCAACCCTTTTCAGGTGTATTTTGAGTCATTGCAAATCTGATATAACTCCACATGTTTTCATTATGTTCACTACTGTAGGGCTTTACAATAATACGGTACATTTGACTGTACACAATGCCAGTGATTTTCCACAGTTATTACATAGACTACAGTTTTATTACAACTGCAGAAAAGAATAGCTCTCTGTCTTTCTATTGCACTAAAGTATCTCTCCATTTGAAACATGTTGGAGACCCTTGCACTTTTACGTTTCACCAATGATTCAATTAGAGAGCAGCCAAAACAATGAAACAGCTCTGGCCCTAAGATGGATCCTTGAGGCATGCAACAGTCACATCTGATACTGATTGGTTTCATAATAAAATTAAAAACATTGTGACGTGACTAAAATCTGGGTCCTTTTGAGACTTTCAAAATATTGAGTCCAAAGTGCACCAGAGTTCACTTAACGCTTACCGAAGTGTGAAGTCACCAAAACAACTCTCCAATGAAAGTGATTACGGTGATATGAAAACTTTTGCTTTTGTTTATGTTTTGGTTTTGGCCCAAGACGTGCAAAAGCCACAAATATGCTTTTCTGAGAGTGTATTTATATATTACTTTCATCACTTCATTCTTAACTGTCAGGTCATCAGTTCAGTCGTCGCTGTGAGTTTAGATTTCACCGAAGAACCGGAAAAGTGACGACCGATAAAAAAAGTTAATCTGGGAATAAATCTGAAGATGCAAAGCCTGCGAGGTTCAAAGTATGTTATTGTGGAGTAGATTACGATGCTTAGAACGGTGATCATATCTTCCAGAAAGAGACTGTACTTGATTTTTTCCCCATAAAAAAAAAAAATCTATTTATTCTATTTACCTTACACTATAGAAGCTGCATGAGGTCAATGTTTGAACCAGTTCTGACTAAACCACAAAAGTAATGTTGTTTTACTTGTTTGCAAAACTTATGTCATTTATTTGGGCTGTTTTGTTTTGGTCAATTTTTCTATATTTAGTCAGTTATTAGATTTTGGGTTTTGTTTGGGATAAATATGACTAGTACAGGGGCGGCCTTCATGTCCTGGATGGACCTATGTTTTTTACCAGTTGCAGGCGATGCAGCATTTTTCTTGTCTGTTAACTTGTTTGAATAAACCTTTTGAACTTTTTATAAAATACGTTTTTATACATTTAATACATTTAATAAATTTAATATTTGTGCAGGTTCCCAGAGTAAGAACTAAACATGGAGAGGCTTTCAGATTCACGCTGCATGTTTAAATCCAGGTTAAAAACAATTCAGCTATGTGCATTCAACTGAGGGATTTCATCTTCACTTCTATTCAATGTATTTTCAATGATTATTCATGATTTGAATGCCTTGTCTTACTGTCTCCATCTTGTTTTGTTCAGCACTTTGAGTTGCCTTGTGTATGAATCGTGCTATAAACTTGCCTTGCCTATTTTTACTGGTTGTAGAATTGTTTGTTAAAAAACTCCCTGTTAAACGGAACATTACAATCTACAAAGTTAGTTGATCATTTGAAAGACCCGAGACACTCGTCTTTGTGTCTTCTGGATCAGAAAGAAACCTCTGGAATCCTCTGGTGGTCCTCGCAGCTGTAAAAACATGTTCTTTTCCTTCACTCTCCTCATCGAGATCAACACATTCTGAAGTGGTTTTTTGGCCAGACGGCTGCACACTTTGCACCTTGACAGATTATAAACACACTTTTGGGAGAATTATTAGGAGATTTATGCCTGTTTAAAGAATGGTTAGGAAAGCGTATGGGCAGATTCTATGGAAGCGTTTCCCTCAGTTCCACGTTTGTGTTTCCAGCTCCTTTCAAAGATCTGTGGCTGGGTTTGTTTGTCCGCTTTAAACAATGGTTCCTATATCAATGCTGCACCTCGGAGCTCTGTGATCTAATCTCTAGAATAAACAAACCTACATCCTGTTT